GCGGTATTATGTAAATTTGTGATAACCAGAGTGCAACTCTCCGGAACTCAGAATTTTATCACATGCATACAACCACTAACTCAATTTCAACGCAAGCTGCATTAAAAGACGGATGGTTGGCCGAAAACTTACTGATCCACCAAGTATCAACCAATATAACAGGTTAATTACTCAGCAGTTTGATCATGTCATTCACAGTTGGTTAATATCAACAAACTAAAAAATTATATAAATAGCGTCAGTATAATACACACTAATACTTCTGATAGCATCGTTTCGGTCTCCTGTCAACGAGCCACAACAGGGATCGTTGCCTGTAACGAACAGGAAATTGATTCGAATAAACAAGTTCATTGAACACACAACAAGAATGCATTCATCACGTGGAGCATAACCTTACCGTCTGACGACAACAACCGAAACATAGGTCACCGCTCTTACCAGTTACCAGATTAACTCTTCAACTCTGAAGTATTCTTGAGACTTCGCGGCACAACCCCAAATTGCCACAGCCATTCCTGCACATGCGAGCATGATTTCCATGGCGATGTAGCCTGTTACTCTCTGCGCGACCTCTTGCTCACCGGTAATTATTGACACTTCTTGGCACTCTGCCTAGGTCGGAATAATAGTGACGCATGCAAGGAAAACCCTAATTCCCCGGCGTAAGGGAACTCAGCCTTAGATGGGAACATCCTGACACCGCCAATGGCCGTGAAATAAAAAAATCTTGCCCACATGTTTATTGAGTGCTTCTCCCTCTATATTATACCCCTTTAGCTTAAGCCTTTTTTGGTATAAGCCTGCGAGGGGAAATGAATTGCAGCAACAAACAGTGAAAATTTATCAGAGCTTATGAAGTACGACAAAATACATAAAACACTGCGGTTGCTTGTTCGGTCCTGGCACTGTGAACATGTGTAGACCTTGCACATTCAGAGTTATATTTTTTTACTTTAAGACAGATATCTCTGCCTTGTGTACACCTTCGACTTTCAATGACCCCAAATTCATGACATCGTTTCCTGGTTGACAACCACAAGAGAAATCTAAGCCATTCTGCAGAAATGACAGATTTGCGCCCATCTTTGGTGGAATCAGATTAGTCATGGTACCACGGATGTCCGACTTATTTTTCGTACTTCAATATTTTATCCTAATCGGTTCATTAGGCCTACCTCTAAAATTCTCATTCTTCTATATTCGTTGCATATATCAGTTCCCACTGTCTTCTCTATCTCACCCAATCTTATCGTTCTAACTACACTTCGTTTGGTTTTCTTATTCTGGTTCCATTCCAACCCACTTAATAGCACCATCTCTAAAACGTTTTACAGCCTAGCCAAATTATTGCGCGGCGGAACGAAATCTGCAGGTCCCAGCGGCATAAACGCCCTGATACGAAGTGTAACCTATCTGCATGAAAAACTCATGTACCTTCTCTTGTTATCCACTAAAACACATGTGTGTGGTGATTTGGTAGCAGAATTATGGCCAGCTACACACGTGATCCGACGCCGTTCACCCCTCGATGCACTCCTAACCTTTCTAAGGTGGTAGTAAGCTCTTCGACGACAGAAAGTTGAGCTAAGGTTTTGCAACCATCTCCCCTGAAACAAAAAATATTAGTGCTACTGGGACTTCAAAGCCCAAAACTGATGACCTTTATTCCACTCGGTGGCACAGCGGTTAGGACTCTCCCCGACCATGCACATGTTCCCGAGTTCGACCCCCGTGTCGACGCACACCTGATATCTATGGTTGGCCTGCAAGATTTGGGCTACCAATATCACATGCTGAAAATTCCATAAAGGTACCAAAAATACTGTATGGTTTCAAGCTAAAATAAAAATTAAAAAAATTAAAAATGGAAAGATTGAAAAAAGGAACTCCTGTTGTTCTGTTCAGCAGGACTGTAGCTGTCGAAGGAATAGACTGTACTGGAGACGACAAAAAACCTAGGACAGTTCCGAAACATAGTTTATCCAAGTTCATTCTAAGGATATCAAACAATACATTAATCCGATAAGTTTTGAAGGTCTGGCGCTACAAACGAAATTCGACCTAGAAAGCCCAGGTAGGTGATCGAACTTGTCGAATCTGTAGGTCTTTTACGGATTCTGTCTGATTTAAGTAAAAGTAGACGTTAGAATAGTGGTGTTTACTCACCATAGAAAGTTAAAATTATTTAAGAATTAATGAAATTTAATTCAGTATTACAGTAGGCTTGGGCCAATGATATAATTCAAGGGGTAATTATCAGCTGGTCAGTAGTATCAACAATATGTTCTACGCTCTATTTCCTGTAATATGTAATTTCTGAATCTTTTCCGAAATGGATTCCTTAATGGCACTGACTAGAACTCATTGATGGTTTTCAGCATGACTGGCACTAATTCAGCACCGTGTTCTTTTTCTAGGCATTTTCAGGAATAAATCAAAACCTACTGGGTTTGCTCATCATCGTAGTTCCAGAACTCACAGGATATATTACGCACGGACAAGCGTTAACAAAAAGACTTAATTCAGCAACCAGGTCTCTTTTTAAGCACGAGCAGAGGTAATTCAGAATATAGTGGGTAAATAAAATCTTCATTTGCCATAAAAAGGCATTATCAAAGAATAGGTTAAAATAGGTTTACAACTGTTGTGAGCTTTGGGGGTTAGACAGCATAACGATTGTCAGCCGCGCATGTGCTCCGAGGTTTCATCTTCGGCCTACTCACTCCTGAACGTCGCTAAGCCAATAAAGAGGGAATGCTAGACACTAGGCTAAATAACCACACCCTGTCAAAATAAAACCACTGCTACCGAAACTTCAAGTCTCTAGTTTGAAGCATTATGTTCCACTCGGGGAGGGGGAGGGTTAAAGAAAAAAAATGAGAGATATTATCTTTAGTAACAATTTTTGGGTCTTTTGGGGGGGGGGAATTTTAGGGCTTTGAGGGATTACCGATATGTCGGTGCAGTTTCCAGGATTTTTCACACAAAGATGTTCCAAGAATGGTCCAAAATAGTACACATGACTGAACACGAGTATATAATTGGGAGAGAAGGACGTTTCTTTCTAAACACTTAATGTTTATTGTCAGAAAATCTCCTACAAGCTCCGCCTTATCTGTATTGCTGAAGCTTTGGCCGTCGAAATTGAAAAGCCAGATCTCTGTAAACACAGAAAAAGTTCGTTCAAACCCTCCAATTTTCGTAGTCTATGCCTCTCCATGCTAAAATATGGTAATCCCTAATCGTATTTCGGCTCTACTTATTTTTTGTTTTGTTTATTCAATTTGCATACTCTTCTCTTATTGCTTCAATTGTTACTATTACTATTCTCACTTTGAACTGTCCCCGGTATTATTTTACTCGTTCCACTTGTCATTCTAAATCAATTTTCTTTGCCAAGTTAAATTCAATGCTATTAAATTTCACACATTGTCACGTCTTTATTTCATTATTATTTCCAAAATTGTGGTTACTTAACAAAAAATACTCTTTTCGATAACTTCATCATCAGGTTCTACAGTTGTACATACATAATAGTGAATACATTAGTGTTATTAACAGCAATAATATCTAAATAACATCGAATAAATGATAATAATTTCAGTGGATAACAGTTCGATAGCGTCAACATAACAATAAACTGAATATCAGAGAAATTCAGGAAAAATATTACAAGTTCTTGAATTTATAGTTTCTACTGAAGGCCAGGGCAGTAGCAGTAGCTGGACCTGCTTCTTTTGCACACAAAGCACTAGTTGCTTCACGCAGATTGCGATATCCTCTACTGTTTGGAGCATGAGGTACCTGGATGTTTCTGGAAATCTTTTTGACACCCGGTAGATGATGCAGAAGGATTGGTCAATGCTGACTTTGAGTCTGGTGTAGACCAGATGGTCTAATATCGAATTGTTGATGATTTCGACTAAGCCTTTGCTTAGCCATACTGGGAGATGTTCTCGAGCACGAAAAATCAACTTACTAGACCAACGGCCGATACAACTCGCTCCAAAGCGCAATTAAATTGGTAGATATAACCAAAAGTGGCTAGTCCAGGTACTTCATCTTTCAATCGAGGAATCACCATCGGCCGTGTAGGGAATAAGACGTGTAGTTGGTCAGCATTAAAAGTTCTTTGAATAGATTTTTTAAAATTTTTTTCCTTCACGTTCCCCAGTGGAACATAGGGCTTCAAGCTAGTGGCTTAAAGTTTCTGTAGCGGTGTTTATTTTACAGGGTGGGGTTGCTAGCCTCATGCTCAACCTTTACTCTTCACCAGCTTTATTTCTGGCTTAGCGAGGTAAAGGAGTGCGTTGGCCGGGGATCAAACTCAGGACCATGTGCATGGTTAGCGAGCGTCCTAACCGCTATGCCACCGACGCACTGATTTTCTTAACTTCTTCGTAATTATTTCTTTAGGTATATCGCCCTTGAACTACAGTCGTATGTATAAAGGCAGTCCTTTTCAACATTCTTTGTCATGTGTCTCTTGATAAATTTGTCAGGATAGCTATTTTCAATCAAGGTGTCTTATACAATGTTTAATTTATCTTCATTTACTTCTTCTGAGCATATAGCTCTAACCCTGTGGCTGAGGGTCTTTACTAAATTTCTTTTGCACCGGAGAGGAACGAAGCTGTGAATTTTATTTGCCTCCTGATCCTATAATTATACACCCCTTTCCAACATCTATACATCTTATGAATTATTCTGTATATGACATCAATATTTTGACATTTAACTATGATTGTAATCACAAATATTTTAATTGCATTTCACACTACTTCTATTATTTGATTTATTCACAGCTTTGACCTAATTCCCTCACCGGATATAATTTCTTTAAAAGAACTATATATACGATTGTACAGTTTGATAATGGATTCGTTGAAAAGTCTCTTCGTTGAAATACTTGTTTTGATTTTCTATATTATTTCTATTGCTAATTTGAACTCAATGATAAGCATTATTCAACATCCTAACACTTTTTTTGTTTTTAGAATAATGTCAACGAGCTTAAAGAGTATTTGTCGAAAAATTATCGCAGTCGGCAGAAACTATGCGTACATATACTAGCCATTCTTAACAAATCATCCCACAGGGAACATGCAAAGGAATTGGGGAATAAAGTTGGAAATTCACCAGTCATCTTTATGAAACCATCTAGTTGTATTATAGAAGAGGGTGAAAATATTAAGGTTTGTTTTCGCTATGCACGCAACAACAGTACCTTCAATCAATTTTTTTCCAACTTTTTTTGTTAAGGTGCCCAATGGAACAACGGAAGTTCATCATGAAGTTGAATTAGGCTTTGTTATTGGAAAGCGTTTAACAAATGTGAAGCCTAATGAGGTAAGATTTGGTTTCATATTTTGGATGTATAAATTTTGTACCATTAGTAATCTCCAAATTCTATGGTTTATTCTAGGTATCTTCCTCAGTGATGGGTTATGTGGTTGCTTTAGATCTAACCGATCGATTATTACAGAATGAGCTCAAGTCAAAGCAATTACCATGGACTCTAGCTAAATGTTTTGACACTGCTTGCCCTGTGGGTCCAATTCTTCCAATGACTTCACTACCGATCAACATCTTAAAATTACGTCAAGAATTTCAAACAGTGAACAATGAAATTTGGTTAAAAGTGAATCATTCTGAACGTCAACGATCAAAGCTGAATATGATGATATGGACACCGGCAGATTTGATATCAATGATCTCTCAGAGAATATCATTGGAATATGGAGATCTTGTACTGACTGGTACACCTGCAGGTGTTGGCCCCCTGAAAATTGGCGATGAAGTTGAAATTGGTTTAGACAATCTATGCTGTGTAAAATTTAAAGTTCAATAATTTTTGTAAATAGTAAACAAAAAATAGTGATTGCTTTTGTTAACTTTATAGCACTCCTTAGCTTATATATTTATAAAGCTTTGTGTTTAGACTATTGCTGCTCTTGTCTTTTTTGTTGTGTGTTGATGAATTAACTAAAAGCAGATGCTATTCCTGGAAGTTGTTCCTTTGACTATGCAGTGAACCTGTGGATCCTGTATTAGCGTCTCAATTAACTCTGCTGAACCGTATATTCGTGTGCTCTCCATTCGGAAATAAATGGTTGTCTTGGCTTCTCAACTTTTGACAGTTTTTGGTAGTTGGTCGATTTGTTGTCCTCTTAGGGTAATAGCCGTCCATTTATGAACAATACTTAAAATTAGGATGTTTTGAGCAAAATCTTATGCTCATAGCCGTATCAGTGTATTCATACAACTTCTTGACTTGGTTTATATAAATGAGTAAAAATATTGATCAGGCACATGAGTCAGGATAAAGTTCAATAGACATGCGTGAGACAGAATTGAAGGTGAAGTGCTTTCGGAAATCACCTTGGTGCTATCAATAAATAAATATGATACTATCGGAAATAAGACTAGTGTTGTTAGGGCATAAGATGGGGAATAAGATGTTTTGTCAGTAAAATAATTAAATAACACGTTAGAGTGTGATAACGTGAATTGAAATCAAACAAATTTTAACATTATTTATTATCCTCCTCTGATTTGACTGGTGGTTATAATATCTTCCATACATATCGCTGGTATTTGCATTGAATCACTTCTATTGCATGTGTTGGGTGTAGATTCACTCGATGAACCAGGATTCAGAAATCAATCTCTCTTTCACTTCACCTACCTATATTACTCTTTAGAATGTTAACTTTGTCCCACACACCCCATTGCGTGTGTGGTTATGTGTTAATGCATGAAGTGCGATTGCTGAGCTTTTTTCTAAATTACTTATCTTCGTGGGTGGGATCAATCATTCTAACCTTAGTTAAATTCTTATACTTTGATAATCTCACTACCTGCGCCCGATCTACTGGTCCGACCTATGTAGTTGACTTAACTCACAGTCATTGCAAGTTATTTTGTAAATTATATTAATTTGTCAAATTGGGTCAACCTACAGGGTCCTTTAGCCTACAGAGCTTGTCCTACATGAGTGAGTTTGTGGGTTATGAATGCCACTGTAATTCCTGCTTCATTGAGAATCCTACGTAGGGTCTCAGATGTCTCCTCCTTATATGGTAGAACTGGAGATGCCTTATATTCTTTATGCTACGATTATTAGTTTCACTTTTATTGACTTATGGATTAACAACACTCGTCTTCTTTCCCATCTTATTATATTTCATTGATTGCACTAATATTATTGCCGAATATACTTTATCTTCTTTTCTGTTTTACGCATGTCTATTGATTATTATTATTATTGTTTCCTTTAATTCCTAGAGGAATATAGGGTTTCAGCCGTGCGTCTCCATTGCGTTCGGTTCTCTGCTAAAGTCTTCACCTGGTTCCAAGTCTGCCCACACGTTTTCATCTCCTCTTCACATGACCTCCACCAAGTCACCCTTGCACTGACGACCAACTCGCCGCTTCCCTTTCGGGTTCCACTCGAGCAATGGCTTGTCTAGTGATGTCACTTGATGGTTTCCTCAGAGTATGGCCAATCCACCTCCATTTCTTCTTGCTTATTTGTTTCACAATCAGTTCCTGGTTGGTTCGATCCCAGAGATCTCTGTTGCTGATCTTTTCTGGCCATCTGATCTTGAGTATTGAGCGAAGACAACTGTTAACGAAGGTCTGTAGTTTGTTTGAGATGCTCTTTATGACGCCCCAAGTCTCTGATCCGTATAGTAGAACTGACTGACTTCACATTGGAGTTGAAAATCCATATCTTGTCTTTCACGCTGAGTGCTGTTGACCTTCACACAGACTTGAGAGTAGTGAAAGGTTGTCTTGCTTTCCCGAGCCTCGCTTTGATATCCTCGTCAGTTCCGCCTGTAGTTGAAACGATGCTTCCCAGATAGATAGGTGAAGGAGGTTGTTTCTTTCAGGTTCCTTCCATTTATGCTGATTGTTGTCTGTTGTTGTTGTTGCTGTTGATGGTGTTGCCCAGGAATCTTCATCACCTCTGTTTTCTTTATGTTCACCTGAAGTCCTATCTTTGATGCTTCTTCTGCCAACTTGTTGTTGAACTTTATATTAATTCATATGTCTAATCAATTTTCTACTCATGTATATAACCGAAGTCAGAAAGTTGTGTCAGTGAGTACCTTGATATGATTATGAGCAGTAGCAATAAATTGTGCTCGAAACGTGGTCATCAGTGAATATTATTGTATGACACACTGTTAGACTTTATCAAAATAAAATTTCCTCCATAATGGAATTATACTCCACCACATTGCCCAAGTTCTATTCTTACATCAGTGATTCCCCCCACCGTTATTCATCACAATTTTCCATATAGCTGGTATAGGTGTTGCATTAATTCAATTCCTGCTGTTTAGTGGTGATTCATTCGATGAACAAAGATTCAGTGGTTAACCTCTCTCTCTATCCAGCTGTATTACTTTTTAATACTTTCGCTCTGTCCCACCCTATTGTGTTGTGATTGTGTGCAAGTAAACGCATGACAACGTCCGATTTGTTTTTTCTAGATTATTTAGGTTATCAGAGTCAGTCATTCTAGCTCTAGCTGAACTTCTATTTTCCGATAATCTAGCTAACTTACTCCTAACTAATTCCATTATGGAATTATACTCCACCACAGTGCATCGGTGGTACAGCGGTAGAATTCTCGCCGACCACTTATGTGGTCCGGGGTTCGATTCCCGGCCACCGACGCACTCCTTTACCTCTCTGAGCCAGTAATGAGACTGGTAAAGAGGGAAGGTTGGGCATGAGACTAGCAACCTCATCCTGTAAAAATAAACACCACTGTTACTGAAACTTCAAGCCCCTAGCTTGAAGCCCTCCCTGTGTTCCACTGGGAACGTAAAGGATTAAAAACAGCAGTGCCCAAGTGTTATCTTTATATCAAATAACCCCAATACGGTTAGTGAGATTTCTGGGGGGAGTAGTGTAATACAAGAGGCGTTCAGAGGAATTGAATGTTTAAATAAGAGGTTAGTAAAAAAATGTGATCAATTATCATAAACGATTGTTAAAGAAGAGTTACGTAATAACATGAATAGCTTGATAAAAGAGTTGTTCTCAGGGTGAATATGGAAACAAAATAACATACGGAATTACGCAAGAGTTTTAAGTAGTGAGAAATATGAGTATACAAGCAAAAGTTAAATCAAGTCAACAGAGTTGTTACCATGATGGTAGAAGTGGTTGAATAATTTTCTTTTGTATTCATAGTTCTGGTTCTTCTAACTGAATGGCTAGGTCTTCTGCAATGCAAAGAAAACGGAAACGTACTGTCTTTTGTGGATAGATTACTTTGAAGGAGGAGGCGTTTGCTGAGATGGAATGACCAGTGGTGACGAGATGTTCGATTATTACACTCCTTATACGGCTATTACTTCCTTTCCGCAGCCACACTGAACAGGATGCGCGTTGAACGACCAATATACCTGGCTCCACAGCAACAGGTGAACTGATATATACACATAGAAGTGGTCAGTTGCGGGATCTTGGGCTTCTGTAGGTCAGTGGGCGACTGGAGAACACACTACTGTCAATTTTGCTGCAAAGAAATGGATTTATTCTACACATGTGTAGAACTTGTTCTGGCGGAGATCGCTTCCACAAACCCAGAAATTATTTAGGGTCTTCTATATCCTTAAACTCTCGTGTTTAATGTAACGACTTCATGTCAGAAAAGTCTGCTGAATTAAAGGCATTTCTCAAACAAGTTGATTAGTTTTGTTCTTCGAGGAATGTTCTAGAAACAATGCAACAGAAGTTATGATTTAGTATATTTAGATATTCAGTAAAGTCTTATGTATACTGCTAAAGATGTCATGGATGGAACTAGGAGTTTTAATCTATCATATCTGAATTAGCTTATCACTAACGGATGGTTTACATAGATATCTTTGTAGTACAAGTATTATACTATCTACATCAAATTGCCATTTATATTATGTACTTTTGTGAGTGTATTTCTAATCCTCTGTTAGTCTATATAATTCTGCTTACAAGGTAGTAAGGAATCAGTTGTTGTCCTAGAACAGATTTTTCATGTGCTTGGCTATGAGCCACACAGACAGTTTGTGTGGCGACTGGTAATACTACCTAGGCTAAATTAGACAGGGAGAGAGGGAAACTTAAACGTGGGATTGATTGGCTTGAATCCAATCGTCCACATCGATATTCCAAGCCTGCGTAGATGCACTCTTGAAACATGTGTTAAGTAGTGGAGTGATGAATAAGTTTGTCAAGAAGGCAATAATAAAGGGAAGTTTCTCGAATGGAGTTACGGTGATGGTTTTATTTCCATTCTTACGGCCTCCCGATGAAAGGAAAACATTCATTTGTAAGACAATGACTTGAGGAATAAATATTTTTTTATAGTGAGTCGAAAACCACCTAGAACAATTCTGGCTGTTGCTGACAAACAAAGAGTTCCCTCTTTGCCTGGATCAATGAGTGGAGTAAGCTAGGCGGAATACGCCATGAAAATCTCCACGTTATGTGTTTTGCTACACATTAGCTGAACCGGATATCTCAGTTGCTTAGTATTTATCAGCTCCGTAAGAACAGGCAAACCGCAATGGCAAGCTAAACCATGAATCGAAGACATTTGGTGTAATATCTCATACGAAATTGTTGGATGAATGACTGTTTAACACACTTCAGCTGCTGTGTTCTCTACGAGCCGCAAATACACTTCCGTAGTTCAGTTGGTAAGTGAATACCTCCCACCAACCAATGCGTAGACGTGATATCCGACTATCGACCAAAGGGCGTGTGTACTGCTCATCAGTCCGCTCCGTCCTCCTTTATGGCTGTGAGACCTGGCCATTGAGAGTGGAAGACATGAAAAGATTAGCTGTCTTCGATCATATGTGCCTGCGTTCTATCTCCCGTGCGAATCGGTATAATAAGGTGAGCAATATTGAGGTTAGGCGTCGAGTGCTAGGCAAGGAGGGGAAATCAATCGACGAGGCTGTGAAATTACATCGAATGAGATGGTTAGGACATGTGTTACGTATGCCTAGTCATCGCCTTCCTCGACGGGAAATGTTAGCTGATATAGGGTCAGGCTGGTAAAGAGCTAGTGGTGGTCAAACGAAAACATGGCTTCATCAGTCAATGAAATCTACAACAGTTAGTCTAAGCCACGTAGGTAGGTGTAGACTTCCTGACTGGTTGGGGTCCTCGGGACGGTTAAAACCAATGACTGGAAACAATTGGTGACATGGCTCAAAATCGTTCTCAATGGCTGGTGCAGATGCATCCACTCCTTGTGACCTATGATTTCCAATGAAACTATAGTGTTCTTCGTTATTACTATTCCTTTGTCTCACACTTCTGTTTACTGTCTCTAATATGCATTTCTTCTCTTGCTTTGTGTGGTACATGGAGTGTGGCGACTTGAACTGCTGCACATATGTGCAAAGTTCTGTGTCCAGAACAGACAGACAGACCAACTAATGCTGACATCGCAATGAGTTCTTGTATTTAGAATAATATGACAACCTAGCTACAGACGTTTATTCGATTAGGACTTTTCGCCTAAAACTATAAACGGGTTATCCTTATTTTGTCACCCTTCCCCATTTTCTGATTGATTTATTGTGCTATTTGCGAAGATTTTTTTATGGAAACTAATTTCGGTTATCATCCACTTGGTAATCTCTTGGTAGCACCACAGTCTAGTCAGTAGGCCTTGTTGGTTGAATACTGGGCTTTATTTTTCAATAAAATCCAATTGGAAAATGACTATTTCTTCGTTCTATTTTTGTTGTTTTCTAAATATTCAAGTGGTTGGACTTGTATACATTGACCAGCAGTTATATTCTCATCTCAACTAAGCTTTGCTTCAATTTCAGCTATCATTATTCGCTTGGAAGTAGATGACTACCTCTAATATACCACTGTAGACAACAGCATCAAACATCTTCTAATTATTGACTCCAACCCTACACATCCACTTCCTCGAAATCATTCGGCGACTAGAACGACGCAAGTGTGTAGTGTTCCTTTGTTTTCTGTGATTTCCTTACTTATATTTTTTTCAAGAGTTGGTTTGTAAGGATTAAATTTGTTTTTACGAGTTTGCCCACGGATTGATATCAGTTAGAGAACCATTGAAAACCAATCACAGGGAGTACTGGACAGCTAGCTGTTTCGTCAGCCTAGTTTGGGAATCGTCGGCAGTACACACCCACTGCCAGGATTCGAATCCAGGAACTTCCGGTTACAAGGCAAGCTAGCTCGTATACCATTCAGCCACTGGGACCCGATTCAATGAATTCTAACTTCAACCAATGTCATCGGTGGAAAATCCATCCTCACACTTGACTGGTTGGACCTCACTGGTCACGACTTTTCACTAGAACTCCGTCCTGTATCAAGTCACCAGCAAGCATCTCACTTATATGTACGTCCACGAAGCGATATTCATTGAGACAGTCTTTAACACAAATGACTAAATGAGACTATTGATTATTTCATTCTGTCTACAGAAAATGTCTCAACAAGTCGTAATGCACATTGAGAATTCACTCACTGACTACTTGAAACGTAGTCACAGGCGCATCACTGCTACGAGTGTATGCCGCATCAGTTCTCTATGAATCAACGAATTGGTAGTCCCAATAATTGCTTATCTTCCTTCAAGATGAAAGTACTTCTATAAGTTGCGATTGGTGTAACCGTTATCTCTCAACAATATTCAGTAGAATGCTATAAAAGCAGTCAACGCTGCCGAATTATATTTAACAAAAAACAAGCCTATATGCACTAGTGAATAATTATTGGAACTGAATGGCAGTTATTCTTACACTGAAAAAGATTTTCAAGCCCCTAATGTGCTGGCATCACTGTGTAAATGTGCTTGGATATTATGAAAGTCGTCTCTCAATAAGTGGCGTTATTTCGGGTCACCGGCTACGGCATGTTATCCAAGAGTCTCCTATACCATTCACTGTTTGCTACCTCTGCGACTAGATGGAAAACAGCGACGTGGCACTTCAGGTTGAAGAATAGGTATGATGCATTTCGTGGCGTTCCCGTATTGCAAAGTTTATATTTTAAGTAAGTAAATAACCTCCAGTTACTTTATCTTACGAGTCCCCCCGTTTTTGATGTTAACTACTAGGGTCTTACTACAGTTTAGACAACTTATTCTGGGGACTAATATTATAAATAAGAATCCGCAGGTGACTTTTCAGTTTTCGCAATATTGTGTCTACTTCTTGACTATGATTCCTAGTTAAGGCAGAACATAGGTGACGTTAGGAGTTAATCGTTCTACTAACGTTCAAGGAGAGTTAATTAAATATGAGTTAGCATTAGTGTCTCAAGTATATATTTACCCTATTCTTACAGTTGATTAAGTAGGAAGTTCTTATCTCAACACGCAATAATAATTAGGATGTCCCTGAAAATCTACACTCTAGAATTTCAAACCCCGTTAACAGAATAATTATAAAAATGTGTGTTAGAATAGGATAGCCAGTTCAAATCGGATGATGCTGGCTGTGAATAAGCTATAGAGGTTGTAAATAGGACAATACATGCCGACAGGAACTAGCAGCCACCTGTCAAATAATTAAGTTTTGTTCTGTCTGTAGATTGAGGTAGGGGGAAATAAAACACCAGTAATAAGACCGTCTACCTATCGATAAATTATGTGACTTATTATGTATGATCCCAATATTAATAGTAACACAGAAGTAGAGTGAACAGAGCTGCGTTATCGACAGAAAACGAAAATACAAGCTGTGTAATAGCGACTTGTGATTCAACGTACTGGTACATGCACTCCACGACGAACGTTTTAAGTTGTATCAACATAATCTACCTTCCTCACCGTGTAAACTCCAACCTACACATTCGCATATAAGTCGAACACTGTTGTTGTGCTTTGTCATAATATTCTGAAGACATGGTTCTAACTCCGGTTATTGACAAGACTTGAACCAAAATTAGCAGTTCCAGATGCCTCATAATTTCAGCTACAAGTGGAGGTCGGTTTACATATTTTTGCTGCTTATAGCGTGAGACACATTCATAGTATTTCATCTTAGGCCACTAAACTGGGGTAAATGGTGAATCAGCACATACATGTTACATCTGTGTCAACTTCACGACCTCCTTCATCCACTACAACTAATCACCAATTATTCTCAAGTTATGAGGAAAGCTACAAGGACACGTAGCACCCGATAGGTGTGAAGCATGGACCAATATCGTTCTTTATGCTTATGAATACCGGCTAGGCCGTCCGTAAGCATTCTCAGACTAAGAAGTTGGACGGCTCGACCTGATCACAGTGGAGACCAATGGTGAACTTCAACTGGAATAAAGTTCCAAAATATGTGTCTAACACTTACTTATAGCTGATAAGTGACATAAATGAGTTTCAGTGCTTTGCCACGTACGATAGTTTACTTTACAAATGATCGCTAGAGAATTGAATGTTATCAGCAATAACATATGCCACATAAACCTCCTATACATCACACTCACCTACTCTAGTCATCAGGTCTTTCAAGTTCACATCAATGAAGTGTCATGTCTTTCATTAGTGCAGTGACGATTCATATAACGATTAACATATATCCTCGACAGAATGGAGTTACGTGGCTTGCCGATACTATGAAGAATTATGCAAAGAATTCATCACATGTCAACGCACTGACATGTTGCGATTGAAAATGCCAGAATTAGCAGCCGAAACAATCAAGTCAACTTCACTTCTGGAAACTATTATACGGGTTTTTTCCTATGCCCACTCAAGCCGAACTACAGTTGCTATAAAAACCAAACACCCAACCATTAAACTGTGAACGAATAATGAGCGGTCATACTGATATGCACGAAACAACCCACCAAAATATAAAACTATGAGAAGCATGCGACAGGACACAAAGTTTATTAGTTTATTTCTTAACAGCCTTTGCAGGTTTCGAGACTTTTCCTTCGGGCTTCTTCATCTTGAATTGTTTCAAAATGCTGTTCCGCTGAAAAGTAAAAAGACAGTAACACTTATTCACTGGAAATAACATAGTCAGATAATGAAAATCATCAAAGGAGCAGACGGCTCTTCCAAAATATCATCACAAATATTAAAAAAAGGTGCTACTTACCTGTTGACGAGCAACCATGACTTTGAATCGGTCAAAATCTGACATAGACGCTCGCAGAGATTTGCGGTGCAGCTTTTTTGCCCATACAGTATTCTCCCAATCTTTTGTTATATCATATTTTAACCATAGCTTCTGAACTGCATTGGTGCCACAACCATGAGGAATTTTGTATTTTAGCTTTGTCAAATGTAGTCTGTTCAAGTTCATAGCTTGTCTTGGAACACCAGAACATGGACCATCAATAAGAACCCGTCTTTGGTCAATTATTTCTACTATGACTGCAACCTTCTTTGCATAAGGCCCAGAAGCGATGAATACTAAGCGCCCTGCCTCCACAAACCTAGTATGATTAACCATATGGAACGATTGTAGTTGATAAGGTTAGTCGATACCACTCCACTTGACGCTGAAAAGTGAAGAACATGTGAATAAGCTACCGAAACAATACTAACCTGGTATATGAAAAAATCGTGACATAATCACTAGTGTCAAGTATGGTGCAGTCAAATTCAGTAATAAGGCGAAGACGTGTTATTAACTACTTACATAATTACCCATTAGTACTACTGACTACCCGATGGTCAACAAGGAAACTATCATGACAAACATATCATCGTAGTACCGTATAATCGCTGCGCCAAGTTTAGATTAAAAAAGTAAAGAACCAACTAATCAGTCTCTCTACACTTGAATGAGTCCTTTCCGTATATGTAATAAGCTGAGCACTATCGACATCAACACACAAAGAACCGAACTGGAGGAAATTGGCTTTCGCAGACTGCCGCGTAGATACAGGATACATAAACCAGCTGAACCCATTTACTTCACTCTTATGCAACCATATAGTTATGACACGTTACCTACAGTGGTTACCAAAAGCTTACCTAGAGTAACAGCCATTGAATATAAGGTGAGATGCAAACTTCACCCTAACAACTCGTGGAGTCTTACCTCGTCAAATGGTCACGCGCTACTGCTTGATTAGCGTTCCACTTCAACACTTCAATGTATATAAACAAGTGTCGAATTTCAATACATCTACTAGACATTATGTAAATTAAACAGTTTGATTCTTTGTATATCTCTCATTTCCGTCTGAATTGCATTTTCTGGTTGACAAAATGCAATCAGACTTCAAATAAAAACATTTACTCACAAGATACCAGGTTCAACTTAGTTGTTTTAAAATTTAATGGCGAACATCACTAAGGCACCTCTAATTTACCTTATTAAATTAGCCTGATACTATATATTGTTATTTCAACGTTTTATAGGGGCAAATATGCGGTGGAAGTTCGCCTATCATCAAATATAAGACAAATATGGAAAATATTCAACAGCCTTCTTTTAATCCTTCTCACTGACCTTAACGAGTTGGTAGTTAGGCGATGAGAGTAACTCTGCCCTTTATCCATGGTGTCGTCAACCAATATGCATGTAGCTTTGACATCACCCAGAAAGTTGTCACCAGCAGACCCCTCATATCTTTTGAGAAACAGTTGGAATGTCCCTGCAAAGCTCGTCCCTAACAAACGTTCCTCCACATTACTGGTAACTTAACATGTTGAGCCAAGCATGTCAGAATTTAATCCAGGAAATGGGCAGAATTAGCTAACGGAAGGTAAGGTAAGAGAATTAGATGTGAAACAACTAAGGAAGAGGGAGGAAATGTACACATAACAGAGATGAGATCAGCAGAGGTGGGGGTAGTAGTAAAAAAATATGAGAAAAGATGGTAAAGTTTATAAATGTAAGTAAAGACAGGTGGAACGTTTGTAGCGCTAGTTCATTCCCTTGGAACCAATCCACTTCTCCTGTATACGCGTGCAAATCTGTTGCCTTTGCTTGGTCGTTAAGCCGTCTTTATAGGGTCACGGTTGACGGGGTGGTTGTCACGTCGATGGGCACTGAATTACCTGAAGATAAACCCTAAGGGCAGAGAGATTAGCTCTTACCGCCATTGCTGCCTTTTGATGAGCGGTTCCTTATGGTTTGACTGTGGCGGATACTACAGTGTCCTTTGGGGACTTTCTGACCATTTAGATTCATCTATGCACTATTTTGTATACCATGATGAGGTCATCCCGTCTTCTGGTGCCAAAGGTAAATATAGAAAAGCACACTACTCTGAAGAGCCTCTGTAACCCTTAGTTGTACTGATGTTAAAAGATGGACCCCTTTTATAGGAAACGTCATAAATTTACACCGTAAACATAGAAGTATGGCCACACATGTATTTACTACCACATTGTAACTACGAGTGCAAGCGCTCCTATCTACCCACGCGGAAAGTAGAGGGTTTAAGTTAGTGGTGAAATGGCTCATGAAAGATCGAGACTAGAACAGGACCAAAAACTACCTATTTTTATACTCCATCATTTTCCATATAAAGCAAATTCAGTTCTCCTTCATGAGAAATTTCTTATCTTCTGGTAAGTCCTAAATGAAAATAGCAATAGGTTGCCGATTCTCACTTTTGAAACTCTACATGGTAGGACTTCTGGATACATTAAGTTGGAGGCTTTCACAAGACAGGCTGAAATTTTCTGGTCTAGACATGTTGCCCAATTGTCCCGAAATATCGGAAAATGTGTGGTGCAGGACTGCTTCTTCGCGGATCTACATCGAACTCCGTTTAGGAGGCTTTTTCATCTCAGATGGTTCTGAATGTGATTGTCTAGAAGGCCTCCTTCACCTTCGGTATTTTTGGCAGTAGACCCACCTGTCTGCACCACTTTGGGTTTCGCCGACTGTCCCTTCCAATACCTTGGAAACTGGCATCTATTCAGTGAGTCCGCAAACAGAATAACTAATGGAAATTGCAAAGCTTTAGCACATTACATTCTAGAGTATTTTCTTGTTGGGGTTCCGTGAACTTCTCCAGAACTACCCTTAGGATTGTTCCAGCGGATTATCCTTGTAGGGGACCAAATTGGTTGCATTTCAACCACCTCGTTTTCAGCGTTCAGTTTGCTTACCTGCGCCCACTTGACTAAGTGGGCGGCCATCTGTGGTGGTGTGACTGTCTATTTCCATATTCTCTTCATACCATCGTTAATAAATGCATCCTTGAACAGCCAAAAGGGTTACATTGTGTCTTTTATGGTTGGGGTGGTGTTAATAACAGACTGAACACCCGGTAGTGTGGGCCAACCTAAAAGGCCATCATGTAGTGTGACCAAAACTTAGATCTAACAGGATAGATGGTCATGCGATAACCGAGATCGTTATTCCTAAATAAGATCAGCCTTACCAATTGGTCTCCTAAAACGTTTCAGATATCAAGCCACACCATGGGTTCCGAAATGGTGTACCTCGATATCATACTTGTTGGTTGGCTGTCTTTCAGATGCCTCATTAAAAGCTTCAATTGCTCATGGATCACGGAGACATTTGTCCTTCTTATCGCTAACTATAATCCCCATGGCCGACACTTTTTCCATGAGCCACGAATCGTTACAGGTTCGTGGGTTTGGTCTCCTGGTGGCATGGAATTTTCTTCTACTCGGTAAAACTTTATCTTACGCTAATGCCACAGTGCTGGGTACTCCGTACAGCCTGATTCCCCTCTCGGCAATGTCTAAATATGCCTCGTTACATTCAGTGATCTTTGTTTCGGAGGTTAACGGTTTTCAGAGGGACGAAGTCATTCATAGCGCTGATGATAACTCCGTTCGTCTACCCCTGACACTGGCCACGGTTAATGCATCATAGTCTCATGGTTAAGGGGCCAACTGCAGAGCTTCTCTCGAGAGCCCGAGTTAGTCTAACCACAGAAGTGATGGCTGGGAGGATTATCCTTGAGTGACTGTTCTATCATGACTAAGTGAAACTGTGTTACTGCTGCCCGTAGGTAGTCCTAGCGGTATACTAGCAATGAGAAGGTGGTCGTTGAATGGGTGGCGGGGCCAAGATGGTATGCTGCTAGTTCTCTATCATACCACATCCTTGATGGTTTCGTGCAGTTCAGCAACCAAAACAGTATTGATGAATTCACCATCGAAAGTTGCTGTGTGGATATGCTTCTGACCAGTTCTGAGTAGCGTCGCGTTGGGGTCGCAAGTTAAGTTGACTTTGTCAAGTCTCACGGTCAAGACGACGTAGATTACCTTTACTGCCAAAAGGGAACTTATGGGCTTAACCGTTCTTTGTTTATCACCGGCATTTACTTAATATAGGCCTCAGCTGTTGTGTTGGCAGCCCATAGAGTACATCAGGGTTTATTGGAGGCATCAGTGACTCTCCAAAATGGCGAACATAGATTCTGCAGTACAGATTCGCATTAAATATGTTGGATTCTCGTCCCCCACCTTGATTTAGAGAAAACATTATCACTACATTAAAGAGGGTAGGGCATTCACCAAGTCATCTGGTAAGTCGGTTTCTCGAGAACATTTCATAATGCTGCGCTCAGCTGCTGCAGTCAATACAACATAATTTGGGACAGGCAGTTTTGATATAAACCCTGTCTGGGACTTCTATTCACCACCCACAAACGTTAACAAGTGCTACAGGTATAAAGACGCCAGGGAAGTGGAGACTAATTTTTAAAGAAGAGTAGACTGCCTAGTGAAATAACACTCAACCGATAATGTGACGACTGAATCGATGGGCAGCTGGGATATTAGAGATTCGATGGAGTCACTGCAGCTCCTGGTGATTTATCTTCATAGATTGACTTGTTTATCTGTGCGAATGCGGAAAATTGGTGCTTAAATAGATAACATAATAATGTCTGGATCGTGCTCATGTAGTCTATCCCTCGCCTACTTAACTAGCTCGCTAGTCTTCTGACAAGTCCCAAGCCGTGGTAAAGAGGGAGGTTTGAGGGTGCGGCTAGCAACCTCACACCACTAAACCTATCAAACTGATAGAGAAAATTCAACGCACATAAAATATATTAAATATACAAAAACTTTAAATAACAACGATATTATTCTTCGCTCGAATCAGAGAGACGAAATGATGCGGGCTGGCGAAAACCTTCTGGAAGCCGGTTAGTCTATGATTCTTCTCCCGATGAAAACGAGAATAAGAATGGGGATGTGACATTTTCATACTATCTACAAGTTCTGGGTATCTGTGAGAGCACATGGAATGGATGTAGAGTATCAAAATTGTCAACAGGAGAGTCATTCATCTACTCCAGTTTTGTCATACAGACGACAACCACAAGCACACTGAGTCAGTGAGTGGCTATCATGATGTCACCAGTGGTGGCCAGAGCCCCAATGCTGTGGGAAACAATTTCATTCAGGATCATGACAGCGAGATTCAACTCGAGAAGAGGGGAGGTCGAAATTATCCAATGCCACACACAGTGCTACAAACAACGTGGGAGCAGGGAAGAAGGAAGACTTCCACAGACAGCGGCAAACGGCAATTGAAAAAATCCAAATGAATACCAAAGTGGGGACATACAACACGGGAAGAGAACTTATCATGGGTCGAGAGGCTGTCGGAGAAATGGTTTAGAACGGAGAGTTATTCTCAGACTTCTGCGACTTCAATGATTTAGTGATTGGGGGCAGCGTGTACAAGCAAAAGGATATGCACAAAGCAACATGGATTTCGCCTAATGGATAGACCACAAATCAGATAGATTTCGTCCTAGTGTTGCTGAGGGAAGTGGAGACGCAGCTAGCCTGCTGGACACAAAGTCGATAAGAGGAGGAGATGCATGCTCACTCAGACCATCATTTAGTTCAAGGAGCCTTCAAGGTGGAGCTGAAGTCCATCAAAACAAGTGCAGACAGACCACAATTCAAGTTCAACATCCAGAAACTGAGGGAAAAACTGTAAAGCACACCTTCAGTAGAGATACCAGAGCGAAATCGGAGACACTGTGTGGTATCACTGAGGAAACCTGCGTGGAGGAAAATTGGAACTCACTGAAGGAGATATTCGGGGAAACGTGCCCATCTGTTCTAGGAAGAAAAAAGAGATACAACAAAGAATGGCTCTCAACGGACAC